TTTGTGGTTTGGTTCGATTTTAGATTCGGTTTTGCACCCCTACTTTCTACTGTGTCATTAATATATTGAGAATACTATTTTTCAGAATATCATTTGTTTCTCTAGCATGGTATCAAGAGCCATCGTTTAACAATTTTTCTGTGCTCTTTGCTTTTTCTACACATGTACCTTGTTACCTTCCTGCGTTCTTCTTGTCTCTTTGTATTTGTCCCTTTTTTTTTCTTTCTCCGTTATCAATGAATTCACAATCATCTTCGCACGATTTGCTCTCCACAAAATTGGATGGTTCCAAGTTTTCTCTATGGGAATTCCACTTTGGAATTTTTGTTCAAGGAAAGGGACTTTGGGTGGTTAGATGGTTTTGTTGGTCTGCCAACAGATGAAAAGGAGTTGGATCAATAGAATTTGAATAATGTGAAGGTAATCGCTTGGATGCTGAATTTGGTACATGCTGACATCGCTATGGGACTTAGACCATTTAGTTTAGCTTCAGAGATATGGCTCCACCTGCGTAACGTCTACCAACAAAGCAATCTTGCACGAGAGTTTGAAGTGAAACGCAACATTGCTGAATATACACAGAGAGACAAGAATGTTCGTTCCTTTTATGCCGGCTTGCAGCTGTTCTCTGGTCAGAACAAGATCAAATTTATGGGTGAAATATGTCTACGACAGGGCTCAAGGAAGTGTTAGGAGAACGACAAAGGACAAGGATGGTACAATTCTTGATGAAACTTCGGTATGAATTCGAGTCTATTCATGGCAGTTTGTTGAACAGAGAAGTCACACCTACTCTTGATGTTGTGTTGGCAGCCATCTTGCGTGAAGAGACCAGGCTTGGAACTCAGGCGGCCATGGAGTCAATGACATTACCTACTGTTGCATTACTTGCACAAAAATCAACTGTCGGTACTTCATCAGGAAATACTAAGAGAATTGTCCAATGCTATGAATGCAACGACTTTGGTCACATAGCAGCCAATTATCCTAAGAAGAAAAAATTTTCTGCTTACTGTAAGATTACTGGCCATCATATTTCGGACTGTTGTCGTCGTCCAAATCGTTCACGGCCTGCTCACTAAGCATACCAAACAGATGTCACTAAATCGGTTGGTTCCTTCCCTTCTGGACATGATCTTGAAAGGCTAATTCGAGATTCTATAGCAGCTACCCTTCTCGGAGCCATCTCAAGTGCACTCTCGGCATCCTCAGGTACAAGTAATTCTATTAAATCTACTTGGCATCTAGATTCGGGTGCTTCCAATCATCTGACCGGAGATCTGTCCCAATTTTCTTCATTGTATGATGATGTTTCTAAACATGTTATTCATACGGCAAATGGGCATACATTGCCTGCTTCGGGTATTGGTTTTGTTGGAAATTTGTCTAACATTCTTTATGTATCTAATTTGAAGGCTAATTTGGTTTCGGTAGGTCAGCTAGTTGATCAAAATTGTGTTGTAAAATTCTCACCCAATGATTGTGTTGTTCAGAATTTGAAAACCGGGATGACCATGGCCAAGGGGAGTAGAGTTGGCAGGATGTTTATTCTAGAGTCGGTTCATCATAGTCGTAGAAAGGAAGAATCGACATGCTTTGGAAACTACATTGGCTTTGTTGGGCACATCTAGTATGCCTAAGAGTTTCTCGCCTGAAGCAGTACATACTTCTGCATATTTGATTAATAGACAAACTTCCCCACCCATTGCTAATGAGACACCGTACTTCAAATTATTTCATAAGAAGCTTGATTATTCTCACTTGCGAGTTTTTGGTTGTGTTTGCTTTGTCCATATTCCAGCACATGAAAGACAAAAGCTTTCAATTACTAAGGCAGCACAATGTATTTTTGTAGGCTACAATGACACACAAAAGGGGTATCTATGTTATGATGCATCTCATCACCAACTTCGTGTATCTAGACATGTTATTATTTTTTAGGGTCAATTTTCTTACAAACACAATTCTAAACATGATTTAGAATATATTTCCTTTTTGTACAAGTTTGATGATGATGTGGTATATACTGATCCTCCGGAGCAGCCCATAAACTATGATTATGATGATCTCTAGCCGTCATGTTCTTCTGTTGTTGACTCTACATACGCATCATCATCTTCCGAAGAGGAATCGTCTCATCCAGTTACTCCCCCACGCCGATCTAGTCGGACAAATCGCCATACTCCTGAACGGCTCGGTTACTCTCCAGGGAAGTTTGGTAAGTCTTATGCCATGCATACCACACTACATTTTGTTGATGTACCTATATCTTACTCCCAGGCTTCTACACAAACTTGTTGGAAAGAGGCAATGTCAGAAGAGCTTCGTGCATTGAATGAAAATTCTACTTGGGAATTTGTTGATAAACCAATAGTTGGAGTTCTCTTTGGAAGTAAGTGGGTGTATTCCATTAAACTTAAGGCAAATGGTACAATTGATCGCTACAAAGCTCGATTAGTTGCTCAAGGGTACAAACAAGAGTATGGGGTGGATTATGAGGAGACGTTTGCACCTGTTGCTAAGATGACAACGGTACAGACATTATTGGCCGTGGCTTCAATGAAAGGTTGAACCTTACATCAGATGGATATGAAAAACGCATTTCTCCATGGCGATCTGGAAGAAGTGGTGTTTATGAAACCACCACCTGGGTGTGTTCTGCCAAGACCAAATGCAGTATGCCATCTTCGAAAATCTCTTTATGGCTTAAAATAGGCTCCCCGAGCTTGGTTTGACAAATTTTGATCCACGATTCAAACTGGGGGCTTCTTTCAGAGTTCTTCAGACCATTCTTTGTTTCTTCATACTTCTCCAGTAGGTATCACAATACTTCTCATCTATGTTGATGATATCATTATCACAGGAAATGATCCAGAGAATATTACTAAATTGAAAGAATTCTTGCATACCTCATTTAAGATGAAGGACTTGGGACGACTGACATACTTTCTTGGACTTGAGGTTTTATACTTGCCTATTGGGATCATGCTTACACAACAAAAGTATGCTCATGATCTTGTTGCAAAGGCTGGTCTTACTGATGACAAGTTTGTGTACACCTCAATGGAGATTAATACAAAGTACAAGGAGGTTGATGGAGAACCATTCAATGATCCAACATTGTATTAGCAGTTGGTGGGATCCTTAGTTTATCTCACTATGATAAGGCCAGACATCTCACATGCAGTACAAATTCTAAGTCAGTTTATGGTTAATTCTTACCGCATACAAACTGCATTACTTCGTCTCATTCGATATGTTCATGGTTCTATGAGTCAAATTGTTCTTTTTCATTCTGATTCTTCTATACATCTTGAAGGATATACTGATGCAGATTGGGCTGGTTGTCCTAATTCTAGTCGTTTTGTTACTGGTTGGTGCATGTTCTTGGCACATCCTTGATATCTTGGAAATGTAAGAAACAATCTTGTATATCTAAATCATCTACAGAGGCTGAGTATCGTGCTATGTCGGCAGCAAGTTCAGAAATTATTTGGCTACGATGTCTATTATCTAAGCTCAGTGTCGCTATTACATCTCCTATAGTGCTACATGTTGATAACACTAGTGCGATTAAAATAGCCACAAACCCAGTGCAACATGAAAACACAAAGCATATAGAGGTAGACTGCCATTACATTCGAGAATTGGTTATTGATCGTCTCATCACTCTACAACACATTCATTCTTATGATCAACTTGCTGATTTGTTCACAAAGGGATGACACGAGCACAACATCAATATCTTATCTCCAAATTGCTACTATGTGATCACCGGTATCAATTTGAGGGGGATGTTAGGAAAAGCTATAATTGTATAATAATTAGAAAATATATTTTTTCTTAGAATAGGACTGATTTGCAGAATATACATTTATAACCATATATATTCCTTCCTAAAATAGAACTTTAACCCTACAATTGTATAGCTATAAATATGTGCTTTCTACTATATCATTAATATATTGAGAATACTATTTTTCAGAATATCTTTAGTCTCTCTAGCAGGATATACTACTCTCATAGATATTTTCCTTGAGTCTTACTTACACATGAGACAAATTAAAGGTCTTAAAAGGCCGTGGTAGCCGGTAGAGGTGTCAATCAGGTAAATTGGATTGGATTAAGACATGTTAAAATAGATCGAGTTATAAATGTATTGGATTAAAATTGATTTAAACTTATGGTAAAACTAAAATCCTTATCCTTTTTCATGTGTGCCTTGCATAATATGTCTATCGTTGTCTTATGGCACTGCCAAACATTACTTTGGCAACATACTTGCATCTCACATAATGTAACATCTCCCACGACTACACGTCTAGGCTAACAGACCTTTGCTTGCAAGGCTGAACCTAAGCCATGTTCACAAGTCAACACACGAGGCTCTTAAGAGTGGTGCCTAGGATGTTCAATGAACACGTATGTATGTATCATTCCTAGGGTTAGCTAGCCCATAGGGACTAATCGGTCTATACATCAAGCCTCTAGACTCATTGAGTGCTCAATATTATCCTTGAGACGGAGCGGTGCACATAGAGTTTCCTAACTCTTATAAGCACCTTTGGACACTCCTTAGAGATACCTAGATAGGCCTGTGAGGTACCCCTCAAGGTTCCTTACTTGGTACGGCTTGATGACAAGTTTTAACTTAAGAATCATGATGGTCGTTTCTTTCTAATACGAACTCTAAACAAGGTGACTTTTGTTCAATTATACTTGTATTGACTTTCTTCACACATGCATAAAGTTTCATCCCATTCCCATATTCGTGGAAGGAGATATAGCCTTCGAAAGCTTCAGCTAATTACAACAATGCCACTACTTGTTAGGTGAACTATCTCGAAATGGAACCAACTTGGTGACATTGGTGAAACTTCTTTGGCACCCTTAGAAAATGCAATGTGACACTTCTACATCATCGTCGCCTCCCTCATTAAACCAAGTATGAAAAAATAAGAAAATATTTTTCTGAACTTTATTTTCCTTCGTACCAAATATATCCTTAGAAGTCGACTTTTTATTTCATTCTCAATTACAATCAAGCCAAGAAAGAGCAATAACTTAACCTCATCAAAATACTTTAGTAGCCAAGGCAAAAAAGAAAAATTAAAAAGGAAAACCTACCTAAAAAGGTAAAAGATATACAAAAAAAAACTAAAAAAATGTTAGCATGGTTAATTATTTATATTTTATATACAACATTATATAGGTAAATTATTATCATTCATTTGATATTGTCTATGTTCTTGTTCTTTTTCTTCTTCTACATCCTCTACATCCCAAAGAAAGTGAGCATAGGAAGCCAACACATAGCTGCATCATTGAAAAAAAATAACTGAAGTCAAATTAAAAGACACATATATGTATTATGCCTTTGAAAAATAAGGTAAGTTTTAGAATATACGAAATGATCAGTTGTTTGGTTGAAATTAGAATAAGAGATAATAATTTCGAAATATATGAGTAATGAATTGTTACCAATCGTTTGGTGCAACTTTAACAGCTTTGTCAAAGTAGTTGTTAGCTCGAGGGACATCTTTATGTGTTCTCCAAATTAAATCAGCATAGAATGAAAGTACATTTCCATCACTTGGATTTGCTAACATTGCTCTTTCACAATATTCTTCTGCTTTCACCAAGTTTCCACTCACCTGTTTGATATTCATCAATTTACAAAATAAAAAACTTTTAGGAATAGAGTGAACATGTGCAACTCCAATGTTTTATTTTAAATCTATATATTACCATTACTATATATTGTCGATGAGAATGATCCTACATTGGACTCGATCTACTACTTATAAGGTCTTGGATAATTCTTTTTTTTTTTTGAGATATAACTTTTGGCGTCCAAAGCTTTATTTGATATGATATTAGAGTAATGTTCATATCTGTTTGGGCGGCTTTCAATCCATGCTTCAGTTGGACCTAAATGTAAAGAGAGGTGTAGTCATAGAGGCGAAGCCAAAATTTAGAATTTATGAGTTCAGGATTTTAGTTCTTTAAAGTTATTAGGTTCTAAATCTATTAATTTGTATGTATTCAATAATTTTTTTTAATACAAATATAGATGAATCTGGACCAAAGCTAGTGGGTACGGCCGAACCACAATCATTAGAGTAGGTTTAGAGTCCTACATTAGTTGGAAAATTGATTAATTCTCAACTTAAATGGATCTGAACAATCGTCCCCTCAAGAACTAGCTTTTGGAGTGTAAGTTAGGATCAAAATTCATTTAGCATGGTATCAGACTTTGGCCCATTGAAGTCGATGTTGGTCATGCAAATTTCATTTACGCACACGTGCAACACATGACCATCATGTAGTGCACGTCATGTGATATAACACGTGTCATCCAATCGACACGTGTCATTTTATCGTACATAAACACCTCCTAATCATGATATGACCACTTAATTCTCTCCACTTTCCATCAAAAAAATGCAAATTAAAGTTTGTAATTAGTACCTCTTTCAAGAATCTTGCATAATTTCCAAGAAGTAGTGAGTTCCCAGGATTAGCTTGAATCATCTTTGTGTAATACAAATCAACACTAAACTCAGAACTATCTCCATCAGAATCACCACCACCACCACCACCACATTTTTTTCCTCTACCGTCTCCTCCACTTCCACCACCGTCAACCACCAGTTGCTCCACCGCCCTCGTGTGTTTCTCTTCCTCAACTTCATGTCTCTCCACCATTTCCAACCCGGAATTTGAAAGTAACATCAACCTATTTGTCAATCCTATCTGCTAAAAATATAATTAAGTAAATAAAACAATGTTATTAGATTAGCATCAATAGTTGAAGTTCTTGGATGATCAGATGGACACATTAATTTCAATATAGTATCAAAGAAGGCAAACAAAGTTCATCTTAGATTTAAATCTCACTGTCATTCATTATCAAAAAATATTATATATGTAAGGCTATTAAAAGGAAGAGTCTAATTTATATATTGTAAAATTAGTTCTTGAATCTAACTCACACCACCAAAAAGTTATCTCAAGGATTCTGCTAGGCAAGTTAGCTCAGAGAAAGAAGGATTCTCCAAGCCTTGCGTATTCGTTCAAAGAGCTGGCAATAACTTTCTTTCCACTCGAAAATAGTAGTAAGCCGGGAGAAAGACGTTCATATATTCCCCGGGAGGAGCTTATTCATCTCATTAACTATTAATGCGAGACTTTTGTCATTCTTTAACACCCCACCTCACGTGAGATGAGTCCTACTATGATATCATGTAAAATTAGATCTTAAGTCTAACTCATACCCAAAAGCTAGCTCAAAAGTAGGAGTGTAGGAGGATTGTCCAAATCTTATAAGGAGTCCACCCATCTGATTAATCATCAATGTGGGACTTTCGTGATTTTTTAACATATAAATCGACTACGATTAATGTAATTTTTTTTAATACTATCAGGTCATCTTACATGTGGCAGTATACATGTAAGCTCATATATATTCTTTGGTTGACTTGATAGTGTTATCTCTTCTCACATTAACATTGTTATAACTTAAAACTCTAAAAAAGAATCACTCCATATTTGGCCAGAATGTGTTGAAAACATAATTAAGCCAATGAAAAAAGAATTAAAATCGCACGTGAAGAGCCCTCCAAGATATAATCAAGCCCATGGAATTATAAGAATATATTATGCACATGAGGAGGCGTTTTAAGGACATAATCGTGAAAAAAAGAGTCAAAATGATACGTGAGGAGAGGTATGTTGAACACATAATTAAATAAATAAAAGTGTACTCTCTCCCGACCGTGAGAAATGAGAATTTCTAACAATTCATGAACATTATATACCTCATCTTCTTTATCCTCTTCATCAAATGTGGTAGGAAGTAGTAGATTGTGCAAGGCCATGCAACATGAGTTGCTTGAATTAGATGATGATGCCCTATTGAGATCAGTTTCAGATAAAACTCTAGACATCTTCTTTTGTACTGAATTACATTCTAATTTTGAGAGTGATGATAATGTTGACAAGTATTTTTTTGGTTCTTGTGGGAGACATGAATAATATTGTTGCTTGAGTAATGGACTTGAAGAGCTACGAAGAAGCATCATTAATTTAATTTGAGGTAGCAAGAGTTATAGTTTGACATTTTATAGGGGAAACAATGCATGGGGCAATCAATATTTTAGCTCCACGTTATTTTCTTGTTTATTTTTTTTTTTAAAATTCTCATTCGATGTCTGGTATTTCTATTGGAGCACTGACTAATCTGAATACACCTCGTGTAAGGGACATTAAAGAGAAAGTGTTTTCTTAAAAAAATTTCTTTCATATTCAGAGTTCGAATTTGAAACCTCAAATTAAGGGTGAAGAAGTTTTAACTCTACCATCTCAAATTATTTCATCTCTTTTGATTTCTTATGCGATATCTCATATCCCCATCAGAACATCGACTAATCTGAATTCATTTTGTGTAAGGCCTAGTAAGGAGGAAATATCTCTTTAATTTACCAAAAAAAAAAATCATATTTAAAATTTGAACTCGAGACTTTTAAAAATATTTTATCCAACTCACATCTACCTTGTTAGTCACATTGTTTCATCAACACTTGCAATTTTAGTTCAAAATGTTAAGCTATTTGTTCAAGATAAATATGAATGATATAAAGTTGAATAAGTAGGCCTACTCATCTTACATGAATATTCGCCTGAGATACGTATGAACAGGGGCGGCTCAACGTAATTGGGGGCCTAAAGCGAAATTTCAATTCGCGGCCTAAAATATAAATACACTTCATATACGTATTTATTCAAAAAAAAAAATTACACTATTAAGATGAAAATTATTAGTACTTAATATTGTTTTTTGAGTTACTAGTTTTAGGTAAGATTTTATCAACACAACATTGAAAAACATCCTTTAAGTGAGACAATTATTATATGCATTGTTAACATAATGATATAAGTAATAAGTTGATAAATATTAAATAAAGATAAGAGTTAGAAGTTTAGAATCATAGAATTTGACTCAAAAAATTGATGACTTGGTATACCTCATTTTAATATGCTTAGAGTAATGCTTGAAACTAAAATTTAAAAATTGGGGTTTTGAACTGACCAATTAAGAATTGAAATTTGAAGTCTTTTGTTTATGTGTATTAACAGGGGCGGCTCAACGTAATTGGGGGGCTAAAGCGAAATTTCAATTCGCGGCCTAAAATATAAATACACTTCATATACGTATTTATTCAAAAAAAAAAATTACACTATTAAGATGAAAATTATTAGTACTTAATATTGTTTTTTGAGTTACTAGTTTTAGGTAAGATTTTATCAACACAACATTGAAAAACATCCTTTAAGTGAGACAATTATTATATGCATTGTTAACATAATGATATAAGTAATAAGTTGATAAATATTAAATAAAGATAAGAGTTAGAAGTTTAGAATCATAGAATTTGATTCAAAAAGTTGATGACTTGGTATACCTCATTTTAATATGCTTAGAGTAATGCTTGAAGCTAAAATTTAAAAAGAAATAAAAAAGAATTTGTAATTCACTTTGTTAACACTTTTCACCGTTAATTCTTATTTTTAACAAAGTACAAAAGATGTTAAAGTGGATAAAATAATTTATTTTAAAAAAAATTATACTTTTTATCATAAATAATTAATTTTTTTATAAAAATTTTAACACATAATTTATTCTTGACAAAAATTTGGGGGCCTAAGGCAAAGGCCTTATTTTTTAAAGCATAGAGCCGGCCCTGCGTATGAATTGATTTGTATTATTTTATGAAAGACACATATTATGTCATGTAGAATGTGCATGTCTACTTGATCAACTTTTACACAAATTTAAGTGTTCACTTGTACACATCCAAAATTAAAAAATATAAATATAACTGAATCAATTTGTCAATCGAAAATATCTTCTCTACCTTCGTTAAGGTTCGGACAAAGGCGCCGTATATAAATTATGTTTTACAAATCTCAATCGAATATAAAGACTGAATCTTCCTCTCAATCATGGTTAAATTTTAAATACTATTAGAAAGTTTGTCATGTTTCAAAACATCTACCTAAAAGTGAGTATTGCAGCAATTCTAAGTTGTCGGCGAGGGGCCCATACGTGTGAATCTGGGGCCCACAAATGTAACACGTCACACTCGGTGAAATGTACTTTAACGGTCCAAATTTGTCCAGTCACGTGACAGCAATGATGACGTGTCAGAAGAGAAAAAAGAAAAACTGCTGGCAAAATTGAGAGTGAAAGAACATACTACTAAAAATGCAAACTAAAAGGACCCTCAACATTAGTGGTTGGGCTTAGATATGTGAGTATGAAGGTTGCGGATTACGGTATAAAGGTTAGTAGGTAATTGAATTTTGTCGTTTTTTTCCCTCTCAAAGGATTAGGTTTGGTGGTAGTTTGGTAGCATAGAGTCTGTTGTAGTATTGTTTTGATATTTGCTACCATAATTGATGTCTATTATGTTTTAGTTGTCGCATTATTTCGCCGTTGTTATTGTTCTGTACTCAGTGTCGTAGTATTGTTTTGATATCTGCTACCATTATTGATGTCTATTATGTTTTAGCTGCCACATTATTTCAACGTTGTTACTACTATGTATTGTACTGTACAATACTGTACTGCTTTCCTTGTCATTTGACATGTTTTTTTTTCCTGCCGTACTTTTCTTTCCATCACTATTTTGATTTACTACACTAAAGCCAAATATTTTGAAAATAGTATTTCTACCTCGTAAGTCATTCCTCGTACCTTGTACCTTTAGGAGGTAAAAATACCGCATGTGTATAATTTATTCTCTCGAGATTTACACGTTAGATTGCCTGAATAAGTTATTGTAGTAGGTGGATGTTTGGTTCTTCGGTTCGATTTTATCAAACTTCAATTCAATTCTCCAATTTTAAAATCAAACTAATTCGATTCAATATGATTTTTCAATTTTTTGATAATTATGTCCACCCCTAATTGTAGGCGGCTTGTTGTGGCCCAATGGTGGAACCCACGAGAATTTTGCTTGTTTGGAAGTGGAGGAGCCCATGGGCTTTAATTTAACGGTGAGTTGTAAGAGTGTTTGACAATTCAAGAGGTGCCCATGTATACTAGAAATTGACATTAGCACTTGTGTGATTAACTATTTTTTGTCTATGTTTGGTGGCTAGATGGTAAATTTAGTGGACAACTCTATATGCATTATAGCTAATTAGTGCAAATAGAATCATTTAACATTGTTGTTTAACTTTTCACAAGTTATGCCGATGAGGCATGACTTTTATACAATATTCATTTTATCTATTTTTAAATTGTTCATAAATTTTACATGTGTTGTTTAATTGTTCATAAGTCTTTTTAGACTGATAAAAGTTGATATATTTTTTTAAATTATTATTCTACCTATTTTGTTAATTTTTTCACAAGTCTGATTAGATTGACAAGGTTTACTTGCATTGTTCTATTGATAATAAGTCTAATTGGACTAACAAAATTTTGCAATATTTCAATTCTATCTATCTTATTCAAGTATTTTAAGTCATTATTAGATATTTGCCCTAAATTTATTTTCTTTGAATAATAATGAACTTGGTTTATTTTTTGTTAGGAATGTTTTTATTTTTTCATGTAGCTATCTATCAGACTATCATTACATTTTTCTAAAATTGAAATGAAAAAAAATTAAAGATGACTACTACTTCCATTTTTAGAATTACTTTTAAAGATGAAGTGACAAATTTGTGGTCCAACTGTGGAATTTTTTGTTCTATTCTTTGGCGGCCAAAATTGGAGTTTTCTTGAATGGTGTAGGATTGAAACCATGTGTGCATCTGGTTTTTTGGTTTGATTTTATATTATTCGATTTTAGTTTTTCAATTTTTAATTTGGTTTGAAAAAGTGTAGTCCAATTCAAACTAAAATAAATTTAATTTGATTTGTTTTTTCTCTTTTCGATTTGACTTTGTTTTGTTCGATTATTCGATCATGTCAATAATTAATAATATAATTTAAATTATATTTGCAAGTTAAATATATATATATATATATATATTACTATATAAGAAGAGTGAATAAAATTCACTCTTCTTTCGACACGTGGCATCATGGCCCACCTACTTTTATTTTATTTAAATCATATATCATATATATTATTACTGTATAATAATTACTATATACTATACTATATAAGAAGAGTGAATAAAATTCACTCTTCTTTCGACACGTGGCATCATGGCCCACCTACTTTTATTTTATTTAAATCATATATCATATATATTATTACTGTATAATAATTACTATATACTATACTATATAAGAAGAGTGAATAAAATTCACTCTTCTTTCGACACGTGGCATCATGGCCCACCTACTTTTATTTTATTTAAATCATATATCATATATATTATTACTGTATAATAATTACTATATACTATACTATATAAGAAGAGTGAATAAAATTCACTCTTCTTTCGACACGTGGCATCATGGCCCACCTACTTTTATTTTATTTAAATCATATATCATATATATTATTACTGTATAATAATTACTATATACTATACTATATAAGAAGAGTGAATAAAATTCACTCTTCTTTCGACACGTGGCACCATGGCCCACCATATTATTAATCACAACTTAAAGTATTTAAAAATACATAACATATATTATTTGAAAATAATGTAAAAAATATTATAAATCATAATAATTAACAATTTAACGGATATTGTGCCCGTGCTTCCATTTAGAAGTGAGAATGTTTAGGAGCTTAGGGTTAGTCAGTCAATTGACCGATTTGCCCTTCTTCTTCAACTTCCTCTATTTACTACAAAAATAGTACTAAAAATCAATTTAAAATATTAAAAATTTGGTTAATTCTTGAAATTTCACATGTATTGCATAATATAATAGAGTAGTAACATATATTATTTGAAAATTATATAAATAGTACTAAAATATAGTTTAAAATAGTACTAAGAATTTGATTAACTCTCGAAATTTCATATGTACTGCGTAATTGAGATTGAGTGAGAAATATATATTATTTGAAAAATAGAATAAATATGTGATATTATTAGAAAGAGCTTTAATATATATTTTAAAAATTATTTTGTCTTCCGTATATGATTTTCTGCATATATGTGGAGTTTTAAAGTTTTTAACATTTTAATATAGAAATATGATTATTTGAAAATTTTAGTACTTTCTTCATTTAAATTTTTCCTTGTTTTTCTTTTAATTTGTTCTAGATTTAAAAATTACATAAAAAGTACTTAAAATCACAATGTAATAATATAAGATATTAAAAAAACATAATTAAAAATCATAAAAGAAATTTTATTGACTCTTTAATTCCATATTGAAACATAAGAAGTTTGTTTGAAAATAACATAAAAAGTAACGTAAATTAAAGTAAAATAACAACTAAAAATATTGAAGAATCATATAAGAAATTTAGTTGACTTTCGTAAAAGTACCTACGTCACATAAAATGGAACAGAAAGAGTAATATATATTATTTGAAAATGATATAAGAAGTGCTATAAATCACAATAAATTAACAACTTCAAAATATATTTAACAAAGTCACATACAAAAAATTATATAACTCTCCAAATTTCATCGGTGTCACATAAATTGAAACAAAGAACTACTCCCAATTTATGTTATTTACTTTCCTTTTTAGTCAGTCCCAAAAGAATGTCACATTTCTATATTAAGTAACAATTTGATTATAAAATATTTATTTTACCCTTAATGAAATAATTTACAGTCATACAAATTTATATCATTCATTTTGGACCACAAATTTTAAAAGTCTTCATTTCTTTTTTAAACTCCGTGGCGAATCAAACTACCTCACATAAAATGAGACGGAGGAAGTAATATACATTGGGCCCGCGCTGGCGCGGGAACCTAATAACTAGTATATATATACAAAGAGAAGTAATAATATACCAGTACAATGACATTTTAAATTATTCGAGCAATATAATGTAATAATATATTCTTAATTTATAAGTACATTTTCATTATTTTCAAAATAGTAGGCTGATGGTCAAAAGTCTACGACTCGAATTATATTATGGCCAAATTCAATTTGCACCACACAAAACAAAAGAAAGAAGTTCGATGTATAGAACCATAAAATTGTTGTGACTATAGTTCATGAACTTAAATATTTTATTTTTATTTGATGATACTTCTGTATGGATCAAAATCCGATCATGATATATTCTATTAGATTATTTATATTTATTTTAACAAACAATATTTAGCATCAAAAATATATTGTTTGATCCTAACAACCTATTTGCCCTTGAACCACTAAAACAAATTCAATTGTTATCTTATAAAGTCATTAATTTAGGGGTAAACATCATATCATGTATGGACCACTTTTAAGAGAAGAATACATACTCAAAAAATTTCAAGTTTGTGATAATGAATTTGTGTGAATAAAATTATATTGTAAGGATATGTCAAATATTATACTCAAGGAGCATTTTCAATTCCCAATTGCAATCAAATTAGTCACATTAGAACCTAAAGATAATATGTAGCCCATCTTTCTGATTTGCCAATAAAATTTCATTACCAATCAATGTAGAGTAAATTTTAATAATGGGACTAAATACATGTGCCTATTGGTATTATTACTTTGTCTGTTGATGTAAACAAATAGATTTAGGATTAGGATTTGTCTATACCCTAAAATCTTGAATTGATAGCTTATCAATAAGAAATTGATGCCTTTTTGTAACTTGTAAGAGATTTGAATTGGTATATTTTAGGGGAATGTAACTTAGATAAATCCACTAGTTTAGTAGTTAATTACTTAGATACACTATAGTTTGCATTATTACGTATTTTATCAGATTTTGATTCCTCCATATACACATAAATTCATCAGTTTAAGTAGCTAATTACTTAGATACACTATAGTTTGCAATATTACGTATTTTCATCAGATTTTGATTCCTCCATATACATGTGACCAAATTTAGGTATAATTTGTTCTAGATACATTGTATCCAAGTGGATTCACATGTATCTGGGATACATAGCAAATCTCGTTCGCCTCTCTTTCATCTCGCTCGCCACTCTCTTATGTATCTGGGATACATACAAATCTCGCTCGCCCGTCTCCCTCCCTAATATTGCTCGCCTCTCAACCTATTTTTGTGTATCTGGCAACAAAAATATATGTTTTTAAGTGTAAGATACGTATGAAACTCTTAATTAGTGATAGACTACATAATAATATTTTGAAAGTATATATAATAATAGTATATATGATAGTGAAGTACATAGCATATGCGTGAAGAGAAAATGAATGTTATTGTTTTTAATATTCTAATTTAAATGATTTAGTAAATCCCACAAAGAAAATGAAATAGTGATAATTACGTAAAGGGGACAAACATTAATGCTAAGAGGCCGGGTTGCACACCTATTTCAACAATAAAAGGCCCAATATATACTGTGTATTCGTTTCCTCAATGAATACAATCTATATTATCAATAGTATTTATTCGCGCAATGAATATAGCATGTATCAACTATATTCATTCACTTGTATTTATTCGTTCTATTGTATCAATTGTATTATTTAGTTATACACTATGGTTATAAAAAAAATGATTCTTTTCAAAGCTAGGTTTGAATTCATAAATGTACTTTGTCAATTTGAGTTAATTGTTTGATAATGTGATATATATGCTCCTAAGTAGATTATAAGTGATGATTTGGTACACAGATTTAGTAAACAGCTGGTACTAAGTTGACACTTAACATCATAGCAGTATCAGTCACGGAGCTAAGTGTGTTAGAGGGTTCGATTAAATCCCCTTCGTCAGAAAATTACACTGCAAAGAGGAAAAGTTAGTTCTCAACCTACTTCATTGACCACTAGACCACACTGAAGCTTGTGTGCAATATCCATCTATCTTGATAGTTGATATGTAACACATCAAACACGTAGTTCTAAACACTAGTACACAATATATTACTATAGTGTAATCAATAACATTTTTTGTTTTTCCTTGTCCTGTAGCCTAAAAATCTTCTTCTTGAACCGAGGATCTATAAGAAACAACATTTGTATCTCCTAAGGTACATAGGGATACGGTCTTCATACACACTACTCTTCCCAGCCTCTCCTAAGGTACGTAGGGTTACGTTGGGAAGGCTGCAGGGGGAATTCTTGAATACCATAAGGTCTGCTTCTATTCCTTAAATTGATAGTACGTCTGTTTTACTATCCGAGCAACCCCTCTTGTCAGTATAGTATATCTATTGTTGTAGATGTGTAATCTGTTTTACTAGGATTTCTAAACAATGGGTATGGACTAATATTGTATCTGATTCTGTGGGAATTAATAGTTGATGTTGTATAAATATATATACTTTTAGAAATTAGTTGGCCACTGGTTTCTATAGTGAAAGAAACAACTAGGCACACATACAGAGCAAGTTAGACAAGTTATAAACACTAGAAAATAGTCAAAAGAGAGTGAAAATAGCAATCAAAGAAAGATTTAATGATCAAAATCATATTTGAAGTTCTGAGTTTTTTACCTAAACTATCAAGTGTTCATTTTTCCTATCTGAACTGTCTAACTATTTATCAAAACACATCTGAACTATCCGTTGTTTCCTTTTCCTACTTGAACTATCACCGATAGTTGAAAATACACTTGAAGTATCAGTTGATTCCTTTTCCTATTTAAACTATCATCGATAGTTGAAATGTGTTTCAATAAATAGTCAGTAATAGTAATGCAAGGTCTGCATCCTTTGCATCTATTAACACACTTTGGTGGACTTGATCCCAACATCACCATTCTCATTTGTTTCCTTTCTTCACTTCTTCCTATAACATACACAACAATTTCAATTTCAATCTCTCTTTTTTTTCCGGAGAAATAAGTGTCTCACGAGAAATTGAAAGAAACATATTATATTTGATCTTTATGTTCCGTGCACAAGTCATCACGCGTTAGGATTAACATATGCTTCTTATTTAGCCATATATACATACATAATGTTATAATGAAACTTCTTCTAAATTAAATCATTTTTAGACTGCAAAGACGGATCTAGAATTTTAAGTTAGTCACAAAGGCAGAGTCACTACACCCACTATCATGTTGTTGCACTGAGATTCATTTTGTATATATGTAAAGTATAGTTTAAAAAACTCTAAAAACATTATAAATAGTAGTTCAAGTGGAAAGCAGCAACATATAGTGACAAAATATTAAGTATTTAATTAATAGTGTTGATGGTTGAAAATATATTTAAATTATTATTTTTCGCGAGTTTCACATCTCAAATATTACATGTGTCATTTTTCTATCTGAACTATCATTATCTATATATTAAAAGTGAAAAACCTTTGGAAGCCATGAAAGTGAAAGGGGAGAAGAAGAAAGGGAAAAGGTAAAGTAACTTTTTATAAAGTGTAAGAAATAGTTTCGTTTTACAAGGTGTAAAAAATAGTTCCGTTATATATTAAAATATAAACGTTATGAGACTAACGGAAAATGTTTGGAATATTGAATAAAGTGGAATTTTTTCTTCCACTAAGCCTATTTTAGTTATTTACTAAAATAGTAGTTTATTTTGATCACTTTTATTTTTTTGTGGCTTATTTAGGTTCTGGATCTATATCAGACTATCACTACATTTTTCTAAAATTGAAATGAAAAAAAATTAAAGATGACTACTACTTCCATTTTTAGAATTACTTTTAAAGATGAAGTGGCAAATTTGTGGTCCAACTGTGGAATTTTTTGTACTATTCTTTTGCGGCCATATTTGGAGTTTTCTTGAATGGTGTAGGATTGAAACTATGTGTGCATGTGGTTTTTTCGATTTGATTTTGTATTATTCGATTTCAATTTTTCAATTTTTAATTTGGTTTGAAAAAGTGTAGTCCAATCCAAACTAAAATAAATTTGATTTGATTTGGTTTTTCTCTTTTCGATTTGATTTTGTTTTGTTCGATTATTCGGTCATGTCAATAATTAATAATATAATTTAAATTATATTTGCAAGTTGAAAAAATATATGTATACAAAGAGAATTAATAATATACTAGTACAATGACATTTTAAATTATTCGAGCAACATAATATAATAATAGATTCTTAATTTATAAGTACATTTTCATTATTTTCAAAATAGTAGGCCGATGGTCAAAAGTCTATGATTCGAATCATACTATGGCATCATACCATAGTTTACAAATTCAATTTGCACCACACAAAACAAAAGAAAGAAGTTTGATGTATAGAACCATAAGAATTAAGATTGTTGTGACTATAGTTTATGAACTTAAATATTTTATTTTTATTTGACGATATTTCTGTATGGGTCAAAATTCGACCATAATATATTCTATTAGATTATTTGTATTCATTTTAACAAACAATAATTAGCATAAAAAATATATTATTTGATCCTAACAACCTATTTGCCCTTAAACCACTAAAACAAATTCAATTGTTATCTTATAAAGTCATTAATTTAGGGGTAAACATCATATCATGTATGGACCACTTTTAAGAGAAGAATACATACTTAAAAAATATCAAGTTTGTGATAATAAACTTGTGTGAATAAAATTATATTGTAAGGAACATGTCAAATATTTTCCTCAAGGAGCATTTTCAACTCCCAATTGCAATCAAATTAGAGTCGCATTAGAACCTGAAGATAATATGTAGCCCATTTTTCTGATTGCCAAAAAAATTTCATCACCTTGAATTACCCAATCAATGTAGAGTTAATTTTAATTATGGGACCTAGTACATGTGCCTATTAGTATTATTACCTTTTCTGTTGATGTAAACAAATAGATTTAGGATTAGGATTTGTCTATATCCTAAAATCTTGAATTGATGATAAGAGAGATAAATATTAGCTTATCAATACGAAATTGAGGCCTTTTTGTAACTTGTATGAGATTTGAATTGGTATATTTTAGGGCAACATAACTTGCATAAATTCACTTGTTTAGTAGCTAATTACTTAGATACATTCTAGTAATTGCAATATTGCGTATCTTACCAAATTTTGATTCCTCCAGATACATGTATACATCATACATGTGGTCAAATTTAGGTGTAATTTGTTCTAGATACATTGTGTCCAAGTGGATTCACATGTATCTGGTAGGGGTGGCTGGGGCGGGTTAAGAGTTCCCCTATTAAAATTTTGCCCTACCCTACCCTGCCCCGTTTAAGTCACTGCCCTATTTAGATCAAGCCCTACCCTGCCCCACGCTGCCCTATTTAACCTCACATTACTTAAGTGAAATAATTTATTAGTTATCTTGCTCAAAAGGTTCTTCTTTTTGTGGGTATATGTATTTGCACTTTATTTACTGGTTTTGTATTTTATGATAAGTTTTTTGGGTTGCAATTATTTTCATTTTTTAATAGATTTTTGGTGATGATCTCTTGTATAGAGTGAACAAAAAATATTAGTCCACTTCACTTTTGTGTTTCATCATCTTATAATTCTTATAAATTTATGTAAAATCAATTTATTGGTCATTTTTCCTCATTAACATGGTAAATATATATTTATTCTTTATGTCTTTATTAATTTTGTTAGATATGTTTACGTGCATTTCTTAATTTTAGAGCAAGAGTTCATCACTACATCACATACTATATGCTATATTGTCTTAATTAGTTTATGTTTTTCAACATATTTTTATTTTGCAAACAAATAACCAAAATTAAATGAAAAGAACTAATTGACACCGTTATATTTGCATAGAACAATATATACCAAAAGAATAATGTAATTAATAATTATCAAGAGAAAAAGAATGTTGTTGTTTTTAATATTCTAATTTAAATGATTTAGTAAATCCCACAAAGAAAATGAAATAGTGATAATTACGTAAAAGGGACATACATTAATGCTAAGAGGCCGAGTTGCACACCTATTTCAACAATAAAAGGCCCAATATATACTCTATTCGTTTGCGCAATGAATACAATCTATATTATCAATAGTATTTATTCGCTCAATGAATATAGCATGTATAAAAAAAAGAAAAAAAAAATATAGCATGTATCAACTATATTTATTCACTTGTATTTATTCGCTCTATTGTATCAATTATAAGTTATTACCAAATATTCCATGGACCTTTTGTAACACCCAAATCAATAGTAGTTGATTAATGCCATAAAGGCTATTAACTACTGCCATAATACGAAAACAAACGGTTGCTACACAATTAAAAACGTTAATATATAATATTAGTAAGCTAAAGTAATTAAGGTAATAATATGTAATAAATAATTTCAAATATTATTCTTATGCTTTTAAGATAATAAAGATATTTTACCAACACTTCATTGATCAGTAGATCACACAACAGCTTGTGTGCAATATCCATCTATCTTGATAGTTGATATGTAACACATCAAACGTCGAAGTTCTAAACATTAGTACACAAAATATTATTGTACTGGAATCAATAACATTTTTTGGTTTTCCTTGTCCTGTAGCCTGAAAATCTTCTTCTTAAATCGAGGATCTATCAGAAATTACATCTATATCTCCTAAGATAGGGATACGATCTACATACACACTATCCTTCCCACAGCCTCTCTACCTTAGAATTCCATAACCTCTACTTCTACTCCTTTTGTTAAATTTTGCTAGAGCTTACAATTTAGTTTCTCGAATTAACTGCGTGAAGCTCAGAACAATCCGTGGATAATTTTTTTCTTTGTAGTTTTACAAGGAGTTCTGATTTGCACAAAAAATGATAGTATGTCTGCTTTACTATCTGAGCAACTCCCTCGTTGTGTAATTTAGAAGTACGAAGAAAATGCACAATTTTAGTGTTCTGCATTTTGTACAAATAAGTTCCTATTCCATCCATAGTGTCTACACAGAATTGCATATGGGAAATATTGAAACCGTCCTTTCCAATAGTATCGCTGCTGTCTTCGAGGGCCAACTGTTCAGAAATCTGAAGGCCTGGGCATTCGGTAATTCGGTTTGGTTTTGTTTTTTTCGGTTTTCAATTCTTGTACAACGTGTACCGAACATCGAACCAAAATAATTCAGTTCGATTTGATTTTTATTATTTCGGTTCGATTTTGTTAGTTCGGTTTTTTTGTTATGGACCTACTTAGTGGGCTTTTTATAATTTTGCAATTTTTTTTTTTTTTTGTTTGAATTTTCGCTGCTGGTCGCCAGTCAGTTGCGTAAAGTGGAAAGTGGTCGGTTGTTGCGTGCTGCTGGTCGACGCCGATCATCAGAGCCCGGAAGTGCAAAGTGTTGCAGCTACTGTGTGAAGAAATCCGAAATAAGGAATGAAGGAAAGTGGGAAACCGACGTGTGACGCCTGAAGACTGAAGTGACGGGCTGCGGCTCCTGTGTAAAGAAAGTTGGAAAATTTTGAAAAGACAAAGTTTGAAAAGACTCTTGTGTACTTTTTCTTTGACCTAATTTTCTTTTATATTTAAATTATAATATTTATTATTTAATAATATATTATAATATAATATATTTCGGTAAACCAAAATACCGAATAATACAAAAATTACATACCGAAAATCGAACCAAAATATCGAAAAATACAAAAACATATATCGAATACCAAACCGAAATACCGAAATACTTCGATTTTTCGATATTTATGCCCAGCCCTGGAAATCTGCCAATCAAATACAACATTCATTTCTTTGAATTTCCAACATGAGATTTCACACGCCTATAATCCTCCGACCAAATAGGCGTGTGAAATCTTGGATCCCACGAGTGGAATTATACTGAGTATATATGTATATATTCTTTTAGAAGTTAGTTCAACTGTGTGTGTATATATAATTGGCCATTGGTTTCTCCATTGTTGACTAGTGTTTGTTAAATCTGAGTGATATTAATGAAATAAAGTGAAAGAAACAACTAGGCACACATACAGAGCAAGCTAGCACCAGAAAATAGTTTACAAGTTTACCTTCTCCTCTAGGTAGAGTGAAAATAACAATCAAAGAAAGAGTTAATCATCAAAAACATATCTGAAGTTGTGAGTTTTCTACGTAAACTATCAGTTGTTCTCTTTTCCTATTTGAAATATCATCAATAGTTGAAAATACACCCGAACTATTAGGTGTTCACTTTTCCTTTCTGAATTGTCATTAACTATTTATCAAAACACATCTAAATTTCCTACTTGAATTATTCCCAATAGTTGAAAATACACCTGAACTATCAGTTGTTCCTCTTTCCTACTTGAATTATTCCCAATAGTTGAAAATACACCTAAACTATCAATCGTTTTCTTTTCCTATTTGAACTATCACCGATAGTTGAAAATACACTTACTATCAGTTGCTCCCTTTTCCTATTTGAACTATCACCGATAGTTGAGATGTGTTTTGATAAATAGTTATTTATAGTTCAAATAGAAAGAATGAACGTCTGATACTTGAGGTAAGAAACTCGCAAAGTGTTTTTTTCATCATTATCTCTGAAGAAATATATACATGTCAACTAATTAACTAACTCAAAGTTGTGCATAAAATGCATTAACAAACCAAGATATTGTTCACTAGTTTAATTACCTTCCTACTCTTAAGTTAGAAAAGAAAAAAGAAAAGAATATTGTATTAGAAGATCAACATTTCAAGGATGAAAATACTTAGTTCCACATTTGCATTTCCATGAAAGGAGATAATAGCCTTCATCTTCTCTAGATGTTATTGTTTTTAAACCTTTGTTTGTATGTGGAGGAATAACAAGTGTAGCAATGCAAGGTCTGCATCCTTTGCATCTATTAACACACTTTGGTGGACTTGATCCCAACATCACCATTCTCATTTGTTTCCTTTCTTCAATTCTTCCTATAACATACACAACAATTTCAATTTCAATCTCTCTTTTTTTCCCAGAGAAATAAGTGGCTCACGAGGAAGTGGAAGAAACATATTATATTTGATCTTTATGTTCCGTGCACAAGTCATCACGCGTTAGGATTAACATATGCTTCTTATTTAGCCATATATACATAATGTTGTAATGAAACTTCTTCTAAATTAAATCGTTTTTAAACTGCAAAGACGGATCTAGGATTTTAAGTTAATCACAAAGGCAGAGTCACTACACCCACTATCATGCTGTTGCACTGAGATTCATTTTGTATATATGTAAAGTATAGTTTTAAAAAAATTTAACATTATAAATAGTAGTTCAAGTGGAAAGCAACAACATATAGTAACAAACTATTTAATATTAATTAATAGTGTTGATGGTCAAAACCTATCATTTTTCACGAGCTTCACATCTCAAATATTACGTGTCTTTTTTCTATCTGAACTATCTTTATCTATGTATTAAAACACACCTCAAAGCTAATTAGGCTAATTATCAATTGTTCACGTTTCCTATTTGAACCATTACCTAAGTGTGATTTTAATACACAGATAGTGATAGTTCAGATAGAAAAAGGGAATAAATGTGAAACTTACTAGATAGTTAAGGAGTAAAACTTAAGAACTGATATATTTTAGATTGAACTTTCCAATTAGTACCTATCATGAGTAAGCTAGTAGATAAAAAGAAAGATTAAAGAATCAATATACCCTTTTTCAAATTCAATGAATGGAAAAAAAGAGAAAAAAAGTTTAAAAGAGAGAGTGATAAGAAGATAAAAATTGTTTTACCTGATATAGAAGCAAGGAATGTGAAAGAATAGATGAGCATCACAATGATTAGTCCATTTGAGTAGATATTAATGGATGAAGCCATCACCCAATCTTGTCCCAAATTTTCACAACATGAAAAATGAAACACAATTTCTATAGACCCTCTTTCACACCAAGTGTGTTGGGAAGAATTTGGAAGAGTCTAACTCTATATATCAATATAGCTCTAGCTATAGTTTTCTATAAAGACAAAAATGGAGCTTTAAAGGGACTCCCAACACCTATCTTAGTAGGGTCAAGGGCCAAATACAGTGAACTATTTAAAATAGGTAACTTTATCCTATTATATTTTTTATACTCTAAAATGAACGACAAGGATTATGGTGGAGAGCTAAGTACTTCTTCTTCCATAATTAAAAGTCTTGATTCGACTTGTTCGGATACGGAGTCGTCTTTGTTACAGAGTGCTTTACCCTTTATATGGGACTTTTCGGCGCGAATTTAGATTTAATCGAGTTCTAATGGATATCGAACACCGATTGAAAAATAAAAATAAAAAAACTCATAAATATCTTTATCGTTAATCAACTAGTTAAAAAACAACCTTCAACTAGTCATATAACATACAATACTCTTCTTACTAACCGTTGCTCCATAACAAAAATAAAATGTTAATTTTAAGGACTTCCAAATTTCTATAACGATCAATGAAATGAATGAAAATTATAAAAAATGAGCATTCAAATATTAGAAGAAACATAAAGAATTAGCAAATTATTTTTTATTTGTCTAAGTAAAAGAGTTATTTAGTACATTACTTCTTAATAGCAGAGACAAAAATTTACAGTAGAGATTCATCATTTATGATAAGATATAACATATTTTCAATAAAATAGTCTGGATTTCATCTCTTTTTAAAAAAAAAAAAAAATGAAAAGAAGGGGCCCCACCACAAAGAAACTCTGATTTTTCCTAATTGAGAAAACAGTAATGCTGACTCTATTTATTTTCAGTGTGAATGACAGTAGTGACAATTTGAAGCAACAGGTTCTCAAATTATTGAAGTACAAACACAACTTTATTTTATTTTTCACCTTATTATCACATGTAATATCAGCCTTTGGTTGTGGAATTGTCCAATCCCCCTACTTGAATTCTTTGTCATTTTTTTTTTTTCTTTGCTATCTCTTTGCCATACAAGGACATGACAGTTGACTAAAGATATGAAATACTTATATCTTTTAAACTGTGGGCTATGGGGTGTGATGCAAAAATCCAATAATACAATTGCACACTTTAAATAAAAATAAAAATATTTGAATTAAGATATATTTTGATTGATCATCTGAACATATGATAAATATTGTATCCACTTGAGTTTCAAACGTTTGTTACATAGATGATTAAGTAAATTAAATCACTTAAACTATGTTACCACCGATCCAATTTTATGCATTAGCTTCAATAGATAGTAAAATCTTATAAGGTGTGTTTCGATTTGTGTTGATGTGGATAGTTAAGCAATTAACGTGTCATATTTTATGTCACATAGCAAATTGGAGGTATATTTAAATTTAGTTAGTTAAGTATGTGAATATTTATAAGGCTACCAATAATTCGAAGACGAAACTAATAAGTTATACCAAATTTAAAGGTGTTTTTAATATTTCTGTAAAAGCCTTTACAAAAGAATACAGTATTTTGAGCAGTATTTTTGAATGTTGTCTCTTTATTAGTAGGTTTTTTGTAATTTCTTTTTTATTGTAGCACCAGAGGATATTGTACAGTAGACGAAACTGCTCCTCCCATAATCAGAGATTTCAGGTTTGAGCTTGTGGTATAAAAAAATCCTTAGTGGGAGCGTTTTTCCTCAAATGGAACTCTACACAGCGCGAATTTAAAATAATTAGACTCAAATATAAATATTAAACCCCGAATGAAAAATCGAAAAAAATAATACTAAATTGCATGTAACTGCAGCAGGCTTTCACAAAGATGCTAAAAATATTCCAACATTTTTGCTTAATAGTTACTACATGACGTATCATGTAAAATAGAAAAAAGCACTTGGCTGCAACGGTGGAGACAAGGGATTTTAGATTCCCCTTTACTCATTTTCACTTTATTTGAAGGGTTGTTACCTATAATTTTATAATATATAATTTATATTATTTTATATTATATTATTTATTGTTTTAATGAGAATAATATTTAAATAAATTATATTATTTTTTGTTGTTATATAATGTTGTCATACATCAATAACTCGAAGGACGAACTTCTAAGAAGAGTATGATACAAAGGTAAGCTATTACAAAAATATATGGTAAGAAATAAAATATGATTATTAAATCAGGTAAAGATAAAATAATTTTGGTGTTTTTCGTAATAATATTGATAGTACATGTGTGTTGATTTTAGAAAATTAAATCGTAATCGAGAATTAATTATCATATTTTTTGTTGAAAAAAATAGGTTTTAGTGGCGATTTTTAGTTATCACTAAAAATTAGTGGCGGCTATTGCAACCTTTAGTCGCAGCTAAAAATCAGTGAAAATCTTTACTGGTGATATTTTGAAATTTTGTGGCGATATTTGTCATTGCTAAAGGTTTAATTTTTTGAAGTGAAAATTTTAGTTGGCAACCTTAGGTGGAGGGATTAGTTAAATTTTAAAATCAAAACCAAATTGAATCAAATAAAAAATGTCGAATTGTTTTTTGATTTGATTTAATTTTGGGTTTTCCGTGAACACATCTACCTGATGTTTTATATGGCTGAAGTTCAGCAAAAATGACAAAACTTCATGCATATATAGCTGGAGTTTAGGCTAAAGTCCAATCAATTTTTTCTGAACTTCACTTATATAAACTTCATACGTTTTATCAGATAATTATTTTTGTCAAATTCAATTTTAGACACCGCATATCTAAAGTAGACTAGATAATTTAAGGCCCGTAATACGGGCCCAATATAATTTCACATATTTTAGTGGAAAATTACAAAATTTACAACTTAAGATATCATAATCCCCTCTCGGATGTATCTATCTCCTCTCGGATACATCCCTCCCATAGAGTAATATATCATTTGCAATGTATCGAAAAATCAAGGAATGTATTCGAAAACAATGAAAAATTTGAGATTTTTGTAATTGAGAAACTTCCGGAATAGAATGTAATTAGCCTCCAAAGATATGAGATTTTTGTACTTTATACTTTTTTTTTTACTTCAGTAAACAACTTCAATACATCACTTAATAATCTATTTCAAATGTTCATACGACATAAATGCATCGTTTACAACCCAAATTGAGAAAGTTGAATTCTGAAAAATTCTATGCAGCAAGGAAATAGAGAATTTTGTTAGATTATGAGTTAAAACATATCGTGTTCGAGGAATATATAAAATGTTAATGTCTTTAAAAAAGTTCATCGATCTACATATATTTCACAAGTGGTAACTATTTTTCACTATGTTATTATCTTTTTTTTTTGTAATAATTGCATCATAAGCTTTGCATCTGATAAAATACTAATCATTGATCAACCATTTCGTAAAGATCGATTCAAAGTCTTTCAAATCTCTATTGGTTCAACTTTAGTATATTGTGTTTGTAGTTTGCTTTGTCGACGAATTTTGTGATACATTTTATTATTGTCTTCGATAAATAGAAATACTTCTATTTATTTTGATTTTAATATTGAAAGTACTAATCAAAATTGATTTCTAACTCCACAACAATAAAAACAAGCAGGAAAGCAACTTTATTTCTATATACAATAACAATTATCGTAATGTTATATTCTAAATATTGAAATTATTTATTAAAAAATTATTTCTAATCCTACACCAATAAAAACAATCATGAAAACAATTTTTTTCTATATGCAATAACAATTATCATAATGTTATATTCTAAATTACATTAACAAAAATTTTTGATACTACACTCTTAATATCATGCCGTAAAAGAAAACTTTAAATCTTACCCCCACAAAATAACCAATATACTTGTTTTTCTTTTTCAGGTTGTTTTTCCCTTAATTTATTTATTTATTTAGTTTTTTGTTCCTCTATATTTCTCAACAAAGTCCTTTCCTATTGACTTTGTATTTTGTCGTTCTTCTTTATTTTTTAACTACTCTATTTTCTTTAGTTTGTATTTTAATATTCCTTAGAATTTGAATGTTAAAACTTTCTACCTTGTCAAATTTTCTCTGTTAAATAGTTTATTATATTATATTAAGAAAATATCCTTTATTAGAAATGAAAAAATTAATATTTTTAATCTTTTGATGAATACATTATCAAATCATTAATTTCTTGATAGTCAAGCACTGTTCATTCTTTTAGTCACAAAGTTTGATATTTTCTTCAAATTAATTAAAAAATATTGATACGTCATTTTAAAGACTATTTCAATGATCAGGAAATGAATTTAGTAGTCATATTATGTAACATAATATTAAAAATATGTTTACACAATATCCTTTAAAGTATTTTTAGGAACACAATATTAACTATTCAAACTCATTTTATTTTAAATTAGTTCAAAATTTTCTTTCTAAAATATGTCAAAACAAGCTTAGCATTTATTATTGTTTGTAAGAAGTTAACTAATAGAAATTCTTCATTTTAACAAAATTACAAAAATATCTTTATGGGCCCATAACAAAAGTAAAGACATACAATATATGAATTCTTCTAGATTTTCATTTTGACCACTAATTACACAATTATTATTTTACCCTCAAATGATGTTAAAATTATTAAAATGCCATTGATCGTCCTGCTCATGGCTCTTCTATATAATAGAAATGTTAATTGTCATAATGAAACAACATGAAAATTATAAGATATAATTTACTTATAGTTGAAAATTACTTATGAAAAAATGGAGTACAAACTATACATTTAAATAAGTTATGTCATAGACATATTAGTGTAAAGAAATTTCACTCTATAAATTTATTTACTTATTATAATATGTAATTTATTTTATTATGAAAATTTACAAATTTGATGTTTTATGAAAAATTGGTATGAATATTTTTATGTGACCTCATAGTATGAAGTTCTTTACTTTATGATATAGAAGAATATTACTTAAAATAAATTATAATATCCTATTATAAAAATGTGATTGAAAATATGGGTCCATATTAAATGTCATATCATTAGGTTACACATATGGCATTTAGAAAAATATATTTGGTTGTACAATCATTATAAATC